GTCTTGGTAACCCCAGATTTTAAACGTCAATTCCGAATAGCTGTGGACGCCAGCGATTCCGGTGTCGGGGCTGTCCTATCCCAGTTAGACGAAGAAGAAGTGGAGCATCCGATTTGTTATTTCTCGAAGAAATTTAATAAGCACCAAGCCAATTATTCAACGGTTGAAAAAGAATGTTTGGGCATAATCCTGGCGTTGCAGCAATGGGAATTTTATGTCAGTTGTTCGGCTCAACCCATCTTAGTGTTAACGGACCACAACCCATTGACATTCCTCAACAAAATGAGCAGAAAAAACCAGAGGTTACTACGGTGGAGTTTATTTTTACAAGAATACCAATTGGACATTAAGCACATAAAGGGGCTACACAATGTCGTGGCTGATGCCTTGTCTCGTTGTTAAATGTTCTGATGAATTGTATTAGATATTTTGCTGTATATGTTAAGTAGTTGTGCAAGATACACCTTAGAAATGCTGTCTTGTGGTTAGTTCTTGGTTAGACGAAGAGAAGCCAAAAAGGAAACGCAGGCTAAAAACAGTGTTGGATGGCCTACTTTTCCAAAATTAGAATTATGTTCGAATTTGTATTATATGAATAGCTTCTAGCTTTCAGTTATCATCAATTAATAGATTTCTTCAACATTTCTCATTTCATATAACCCCGAAAAGGGTAACTGCTGTAAAAACATTTCACCAAATGTAAAGAAGAAATATATTTTTTAAGGGGGGAGGTGTGATGTAGATGTTTATGTAAAGTGTGTGTGAGAGTGCCCCCCCCCCCTTGTAATGGTGTGCAAGCGAAGAAAAGAAGTGTGTAAACGGTGTGTGGTGTAGAGCGTAGCAAGTGGGCAATGGTTTTCGTTTCGATGCTCAGTGTTCCCCTGTAGAAGTTGAAAATTATATTGGACTATTACAATTATTAACTATGGAACTTGCTAATTTAGGGTAAAAGAAATAATTTGAAAGAATAGGCATATATATATATATATATATATATATATATATATATATATATATATATATATATATATATATATATAGGCCTATAATTCACGTGAAACGGGTACCGATGGCTAGTATATTATATACATATTATTATTATGTATGACCTGTTGTGTGTTAGGATAGGTGTTATTTGATAGATACACTGTTACTGAATTAAAAATCAATAGAGGTTGTTTTTTTTTGTTTTGTTTTTTTTACATTTAATCACAATAGCAGTTAATTTCAGCATCGTTCAATATATTTACAATTGCCTAACATGAATCAATATTTTTAACATACTAAACACCAGAGGCGTAGCGACCCTTCCCGGCGCCCGGGGACAAACTTTCAATTTTGCGCCCCCAGGCACCCCCCCCCCGGTCATATTTTTTTTAGCGCAATTTCCATTCTGGAGAATAGCGTTTATTAACTCGTCTTTTCTGGGAATGGATGGATGGATGTGTGTTCGCAGCTTTAAGTCGTATCTCCTCCTCAACGAAGCAATATCGATGACTAGTTCCAAAAGCAATTATGTTAACGAAGTTTCGACGATGATAGTGGGCCAAAAAAATTCCGGAATTCCTTCCTGGATTTTCCAGAAAAGCCAAAAAACCTCGAAAAAATGCAGTTTTTGGTCCATATCTCGGCAACCAGACGACTTAGCGACTTGAAACATTTACCAATCGATTGCTGTCATAATTTAGAACAATATTGCCGAAGAAAGTTTTCAAAAATATCCTTTCGTTTGGTCACAAAAAAATTTTTAAACTTACATTATACATAATATACTACAGTACTATATAGCAATATATAGATATCTATTTTTCGCTATCTTTTAGATCTTGCTATAAGTTTATTTTTTTTATTACTTATTTACTTATTTCAAACGTTTATTTTGTACCCTATTAATTTATTTATAATTTATATGAGAGTGATAGGGAGTTACAATTACAAGGTTTTGTTTCGCTAGGCCTAATCATTTTTTCACATTTTTTTAAAAACAATAGAGTTATATGACTAAAAACCATTGCGCGCCTACTGAACGTGATGGCGCAGCCATGGAACTGGATGACGCATCTATTGAACGTGATGACGCGTACATAAGGAAATTGCGCTTAACTTGTCACTAGACTTTTTAATTAACTTGTTTATATTTATAAAGCAACAATGCAGCTAAAATGAGATTTTAATTTGTTTTTCCAACCCATTTTGGCGCCCCCTAAGGTCGGCGCCCGGGGACATATGTACCCCCCTGCCCCCCATTCGCTACGCCTCTGCTAAACACATACTGAAGTTGTCAAGTGAACTTATCTTTAATATAGTTCATTTGGTTTGGTTTTATTTTTAAAACACAAAAATCGCACGAATTAAATGATGCTCATAAAGCTCATAAAAGCAGGCATGCTATAGGTTTCTGCCAGACTTTTTTCTTCAAAGGAGGGGGGGGGGGGGGGGGGCGGGGGAGAAATTGAAATTTTCGTGGGGGGGGGGGGGGGGGGGGCTGGACTACAATTTACGAGGGGTGGAAACTGGTAAAAGTATATATACTTTTTTTTTCTTATTTTCTATATAAATCCCTTTTTGTTGGGGGTGGGGGGGGGGGGTGGGGATGTAGAATTTCCTCAGTTCCTCAGGGGGGGGGGTGGGGGTGGGGGAAGAGATTTCTGAAAGAAACTCTGTTGGTGATCAAACTTAATTTTTTTTTGAATTGTGTAATGATAATTAAACAAATGACATTAAACCATTTGCGTTTGTGTAGACATGTAGTCAACACATATAATAAATTTTTAGCGTGTGTTAAACATGGTGGTTACATATTTTATTTTTTGAGAATTTACCATCAACCATGTTTTGTGTTGTACTTCTATAAACTAAAGATAGTAAAACTACTAAAGTTGGATAACATTGCGCCTTGATCAGCGCAAGACACTTTTAGGTAAATTTCTTGACCTTTCTTCATGTCAACAACCACTGACCCAGCAGCGCTAGTGTTGGCACATTTCACATCTATATTCGTACACATCACGTCTCCAGCCCACACACCAACTATAATCTTTTCATCTCCCCATTCATGTAAAGTCACACAGACAAGATATAAACCGTCATGTGGTGATATAAATTTTCCTGTTGTTTGATTAAAATGTTGACCGTTATATTCACGTACTTTACTAAATGTTGAAATAATTGATCCAGTACTGACAGGAGTGAGACCATCAAGCTCCACATAACAAGCATATCTGTTACATACACGTGACTCTGTTGATTGGAAAACATATGAATGATGTACATGTTTAATTTCACGAATACTATAACTACTTGATCAATAATATTTGTGAATTGTTTTTACTAAACATAATCTCATTATATGTGTTTTGTATGCAGTTTAGAATGTAACTAAAATTGACAAACCCAAATAAAACGGTTTTTTTTTCAAAATATTAAATTGTGTATAATAATCCATAAGGTTTAAATAAGTTTGTCTAAGACCACAACTTGATACATTAGACCACTAGTTTAGTACCGCCCCTAAATTTTAGTGATGTTAGTTTATCGTGTCTTACGTATTGAAACTAGTAGGTGACGTAATACGTCACAAGAGGTGCAACAAATGTAATGCGTTATTTTATAATCGTGTCAGCGACAAATTCCAGAACGATACTTGTCCGAATGCCGTTTGCCCAAAGGCCGATTTCCCGAATGGACACTTGCCCGAATAGAAATGTCCATTCGGTCATATATCGCGTTCCGGCAAGTGACGTTCGGGAAATCGTCCGGCTCCCTTTATAATCATAAAGTCCGTACGTGTTTACATTACAGTTTAACTATATTTGGTTTATCTATCCAAACCAAAATTACTGGAACTAAAGTTATTCTGTTGTACTTAGTAATCACCGAAAACAAGATCTGCACCGTGTAACTTTTTTTATTATTCATCTCAATTTACAGTCAATTAATGCGATACTAAAATGTAAAAATGTAAAAATGTTTTCATGCTATTATTTTAGTTTAGGTTTAATCCCTGTCTCTTATAGGACTCCGTCTTCATCTTAAAAACATAAGGGAAGATGTGTCGTTATATGTAGTTAGTTAAATTGAAACTGCAGCTCTGTAAATGTCTTACTGTACTGGGTAGACCGCTGTAGGTCGACTCCCGACATACCAGGTGGTGTAATGTATCAGGTGAGGAAACAAACACCTGACGGAAACCCACGGGTCTAGAGACTGGCACTATGGGTGAGTGAAATGTTCCATTCTTTATCACGTTATGGTCTGTCTGGCTAACGAACATCACGTTATGGTCTGTCTAGCTAACGAACATCACGTTATGGTCTGTCTGGCTAACGAACATCACTTTATGGTCTGTCTGGCTAACGAACATCACGATATGGTCTGTCTGGCTAACGAACATCACGTTATGGTCTGTCTGGCTAACGAACATCACGTGATGGTCTGTCTGGCTAACGAACATCACATTATGGTCTGTCTGGCTAACGAACATCACGTTATGGTCTGTCTGGCTAACGAACATCACGTTATGGTCTGGCTACCGAACATCACGTTATGGTTTGTCTGGCTAACGAACGTCACGTTATGGTCTTTCTGGCTAACGAACATCACGTGATGGTCTGTCTGGCTAACGAACATCACATTATGGTCTGTCTGGCTAACGAACATCACGTTATGGTCTGTCTGGCTAACGAACATCACGTTATGGTCTGGCTACCGAACATCACGTTATGGTTTGTCTGGCTAACGAACGTCACGTTATGGTCTTTCTGGCTAACGAACATCACGTTATGGTCTGTCTGGCTAACGAACATCACGTTATGGTCTGTCAGGCTAACGAAAATCACATTATGGTCTGTCTGGCTAACGAACATCACGTTATGGTCTGGCTAACGAACATCACGTTATGGTCTGTCTGGCTAACGAACATCACGTTATGGTCTGTCTGGCTAACGAACATCACGTTATGGTCTGTCTGGCTGTACGATTAGGTTTTTAAAATTATTTTTTTATGCAAACTTACGTATAATATTCAAATCTTTGGACAGTTTTGAAATAGCACCTTCAATATTTTCCAGCTAAAAAAGTTTTTTATAAAACAAATGAAAAATTCCCGTAGTTACGTACAGCATACAAATGATGCACTGATTTTAATTGGTTATGACATATTGTAAAAATAGAACATTATTTAAAGCTTGTGTTATTTTTAAATATATGTTATTAACTTGTCTATTTACATAGTGTTCATAATTAATGCACGATTTATCAACGTCGCAATTTATTTATTTTTAAATTACTTCTTATATACCTTCGTTATTCTTTCTTTCCTTGTTTCCAAGTTTTTGTTAAAGATTTGAATCAGTTTGTCAATGGGCATCAACCTTTGTTGCAGGAGCTTGTTTGTTAAAATGTACTAAAGAGCAGAAAATTTAATAAAAGCATTAACATTTTAATTATTTTTACTGCACATTATAACTAACAAAACATAAAATGTGTCTTAAAATAAGTAATACTTGTAAAGTATAACTTTTGATAAAGCTACTAAGTTGTGTTTTGATTTAACCAGGTAATAAAATGTGAAATAATTTTTCTGGCCAGTATGTGTAAAATTGTGTTAACCCATGATTAGCAATTTTACCTTTTCTAATTGTGTTGATGTATTATGCATGGTTTTATAACTCTCTTCTTGTAGGGTAGACATCTGATCTGAATGTCTTTTAATTTCTTGTGTTATACTATCAGTTTTATCTGTGTGATCTTGCATATCTTTGTTTATTTTGAGTAAGTTGTTTTCATATCCCTTTATATCTAGAGACAGTTTCTCTAGTGTTTTGTTTGACTTGGATTCTTTTTCTTTTAAACTTTCAATTTCTTTGTTCAGCTCCTTTACTTTGTTATCTTGTTCACTCATTTGTTTTCTGAGGTTTTTAAAATTCTGTTTTTGTCTTTTAACCAGTTGTTCAATGTTTACCCCCATGTCAATCTGTTTTGTTACAAAGTTGTCTCTCCATTGTTTTATTTCTGATATTGCATTTGTAGACTTGTCTCTGATGTCTTGTAGAGAAGATATGGCTGTCTCTATCTGCTCAAGTCGACTGACGTCTTGTAGAGAAGATATTGCTGTCTCTATCTGCTCAAGTCGACTGACGTCTTGTAGAGAAGATATAGCTGTCTCTATCTGCTCAAGTCGACTGACGTCTTGTAGAGAAGATATAGCTGTCTCTATCTGCTCAAGTCGACTGACGTCTTGTAGAGAAGATTTAGCTGTCTCTATCTGCTCAAGTCGACTGACGTCTTGTAGAGAAGATATAGCTGTCTCTATCTGCTCAAGTCGACTGACGTCTTGTAGAGAAGATATGGCTGTCTCTATCTGCTCAAGTCGACTGACGTCTTGTAGAGAAGATATGGCTGTCTCTATCTGCTCAAGTCGACTGACGTCTTGTAGAGAAGATATGGCTGTCTCTATCTGCTCAAGTCGACTGACGTCTTGTAAAGAAGTTATGGCTGTCTCTATCTGCTCAAGTCGACTCAATATTTCTATAGTAATACATGACAAACAAATTAAATTATTGTACGTATTAATTGTGTTTAGTAAATCATAAATACTTTATTTTTAACGAAGCTAAGACATATATGTTTACATCTTAAGATTTATTTGTTTTAGTTTCTAAATATTCCATACCCGCTGTTGATTGAACGTGTTTAGTGACTTGATGTTTTGATTCACTAGGGTCCCATTTTTCTGCTGCTGTAGGATATGGTGTTGACTGAGATAATGATGGCGCAGTGTCCTCGACATTTACGTAGTCTTTATTTTCATCTTGGTGATGTAAATGAACAAAATAATGTTTTGTTACATATTGAAATAGTCGAATATGTATTTTTGTTATTTGAATAATTTCTTTAGATGGAACTACTGTATCTTTTTTCATAGATCCTCAATTTAACATTATTACAATTATTGAAAAAAGCTTTACTTATGATAGATGATGACGTATTCAACAAACTCAATGTAGCTGCCTCTAGTTCCTGGCAAAGTTCGCCGTACGTGAGAGGCGGGTTGTCAATTTTATCTTCTATCCAATTTTGACATTTTTCTACAGCCTTGTATAAAAACATTTTTGAATGTACCGTGTATTTTTCTTTTGAAATTATTCCTTAACTACTTTTTTCTACATAAGTTATTGCACTATTTAAAATGTATGAACAAATAACAATATTATTAATCGTTTACGTTTTTCATAACTTCCAAGACAGGTTCCAGAACTTGTATATTTTCTTCCAAATATTTCTTATGCCGTACAACAAGTTCAAGGTGTATCCTGGGTCGCATCTAACAAAATAATTAAAAGATTTGGTCGAGATGTCAACTAATTAACTTGAAAAATCAGAAAATTATAAACCAATTGAGAAAAACAAAATATTTACAATAAGATAGTTTTTACAAAATCACATATAATTTACATTTTTAACATGGCTAAATAGCAAGCAAATTTATAGATAGACTTTTAATATGTGTTTATTTAACATGTTATTCTACTATAAATTTTGAATATTATTATTTTTCTTATCGCATGAAATTGCACTCTTTACATTTACATCCAACAAATGAAAATGAAAGTGTCCATCGGGAAAATCAGCTTTTATTAAAAAAATATTCCATTAATAAACGTGGCCAGCAATACAAGAGTCGTAGGCTGCTAGATCTGTTTTTTTGCCGCCAACTAAAATATTTCATCCAGGTAAAAACCACGTATCTGTGTATTTAGTAGGTCATTCAAATGATTTTATGTCGAAAATCATGTTCCTCCATCTTTAACATAGCTTAAAATAGGTACTATTTGTATTTGAAAAATTCAAACTAAACGAAACATTATATGATCCACAAATGAATACAGGTTTCATTACTGAATTAAGGTACATGTATAATCTCTAAACCATTTGCTTACACTTACTTTAATCTTGACTTCTGGTATTCGTTTGACGTGTAGGTAAAACGTTATCAAACTATTCCACAACTTCTATCCTGCTCGTGAAACTGAAAGTTATAAATGGGAAATTCCGCTATTATCTATTACGTCGAAACCTCGGTACAAAGTACACAACAACTAGAGGGACATAACTGTGTCTGATCTTGTTTTTATTGTAACAACACATTAAGTTAAAGAAGGTAACATAATATACTGTTTAATTTCATTACATATGTAGGTTACTTACATATAAGCCTGCATATGTGATAAATGTATATACGATATAGTGCTTATTATATGCAGATAGACGTTTTTGGTTAGATCTTGTGTTAGGTCTAGGATTAGGTTAGGAACATAAATGAGTCCAGTAAAAGTTCATATATAATCAACTCATGAAGAGTTCACGTTTAAATAATTTCTATCGAGAAAACAAATGAATGAGAGTTTATGACAGAATATTCAATGCAGAAGAAAACTAAATCCTATTCGACATCATTATTCGTGTGGAAAACGTGTGGTGGCTACAACCACAAGTCTCCTCACGTCGTTTTATATCGAGATTATTCTACGTTGACGGTTGTTTTGTTATAAGTTTTTCGATCACTAACTAATGTGTGATCGGATAATATTTGCGTGATTTAGATCTTAATGACTGGAGTCGTGTGTGCGTTTATGCTTCGTTCATATATCTATAAACATGGTAATGTGATTAGCAGTGGCGGGACTAGAAAAAAAGGGCTACCCCGCAAAAATTTTTTTAGGCCCCCTGTATACATACATATATATATATATATATATATATATATATATATATATATATATATATATATATTGTCACAGCCTTTTTGTACTGCCAATTTCATGGCACAAACTCAAGACAAATACTAACCGCACCACTGATGTGTTATTGCATATTATAGCCTAATTAATTTTTATAATTTTATTGCGCGCATTGACCGGCTCTCTTGGCCAAAGCCCGAAGAACTTAGCACAAAGATCGTATTTCGTAAATTGGCCGGCCAATGCGCGCACTGGCTGGAACGTACTTTCCAAAGTTCGAAGCGCTTAAACTTGACAGCGTATTTTATACATTGGCCGGCCAATGCGCGTACTGGCCGGGATGTATTGGCCAATGTTCTATCTAAACTAAGTTGTGATCGCGTTTTCATTATTCTGGGTGCGGTTTCATTGTGAGTAATGTATTGTTTAGCTCTTGTACGTATAGCATTCTATATGCAAGGCGACTAAACAAATATGATGTTATTGTAGTTGACGGTAAAGAAAAACTTATTGTACCAATAAAAGCAGACAAGAGTGATCGCTTGCATTATTGTGATGTATAGCATTTATTTTCTACTTTTTAGTTCAATCAGAAAACGTGGGTTTTTTTAAACTTTTTTAATGATTATTACTTTTCAGAATAATATTTGTGAATACGTTGTAAAGAAAGCACCGAACGTGTTAAAGGAGAAAAATAGAATTAAATCAAGTTTTCACCATTGTTCGCTTTACAAGCTGATGAAAATGCTCGCTGTTGCTTGTCTTCATGACATATATATTCATTCAATGATATAAAACAAGCGTTTCAATTTTGTATTGAACATAAACCACTATAAAAAGTAAAGATTTCATTGAGAAAATAAACAAAGAGCTAGACGGCTGTTGAAACGAAGTTGTTTTTAGAAATGCAAGGGAAGCAAGACCTTAAGATATAGCCTACTTTAACAATTAAGAGTGGTTTGAGAGGGTAGCATACCTAGCAGTTATGTTCAACAAAAAATAGGTTTAACCTTAAGCTTCAGGGGGAAAAAATATTATTGCCATTCAAGATAATCTCGGGGCTTGTTTTTCCAAACTATGCAATTTGCGAAAATAAAATCTTGAGAATATTGCCATGTGTGGTGTGTGTAATATGAATCTGAATATTAAACAAATAATATTTTAAAAGATGAGATTTTTTATCATCTTGAATATCTTGACAACGAACATTGGCATTACTTCACTGAACTGAAAGAAGTATAAACCATAATGACACATAGTACATTCTCTGCTTTTGTTTATGTTGCCATATATATGCAACTAAACGAATATGAACCCTTTTTCCTGATAATCTCGGGGCATTTTTTTTTACCAAAGCAGCAAAATTGACAAAGAAAAACAAATCTTGGAAACAATGGCATGTTTGATATTTGAGAATCTGATTTTGAGATAAATATCAATTTGAAAGAGGTGATTTCTAGCCATCTTGAGTTTCTTAAAAAGTAAATGCGGCGTTATTTCCCTGAGCTGAGAGAAGAAGAAACCTAATTGACACGTAATCCTTTCTCTGTTCCCCTTGAACTTGCCAGAATTCCTGATGAGTTGCAAGATGAATTCTTGGATTAGCTGAATCATTCCGAGGAACGTACCGTGTTTAATGAAAACCATTCATAACCTAACGTGACATTGTTTTCCATGTCGAGTTTTAGTTCCTTTAGTGTCTATGCGAGAATGGATTTTCAATACTTATACAATTTAAAACAAAACATTAACCAATAAATTAAATGTTGTGAATTACATGAGGTTGGCATCAAATAAACGTAACCGAAAATTTGAGTCTAGTTAATAACATGCAATTTCACCCATCTTAGTAAATCACTTATCAAACATAATTTTAAGAGAAAAATTATAGTAGAAAATTTTTGTTCGATGTTAATTAATGTCCGTGTTTATTATTATTGACTTTTCAATAGCGCGATGGTCGTGGGTCAATTAGCTATTATAAAAGGGGGTCGCCACTCGATAAAGTTTGGGAATCTGTGCCTTATAAGAAAAAAATACAAAATAGTTCATCGCCTTCTAGTAAACTGCACTTAAACGTATCCTTAGAGTGGTAAGGTAGAAGAATATAAAAAACGTGTCATATGTGATCGCATGCGTACATAAATGTTTTCGACTGCATGTATACCTGGGTGTACGTATGTGCTCATGTGTGTGTACATCTGTACGTGTGTAAGTAAATAAACATTACACAATACTTGGTTTAGCTCACATACGTGTTGGAAGACAACGCTGGTTTTCAAACACTATTAAAGTGTCTGTCTGTCTGTGTATAAACGCGATAACTTGAGTACCGTTACAGCTAGGTTGATGAAATTTTATATATAAGTATTTTATCACAATCGTAGATAAGTTTCAACTTTTGAGCGATTTCCGATAACCGGAAGTTGTACTTTTTCTACTTTGAATTTTTCAAAAGCCTATCACTTGAGTACTATTTCAGATAGATGAATGAAATTTCATATGTGAGTAAAAGATCAAATTCTCTACCTTCTTTCAAATTTTGAGTAATTTGAGTTAACAGGAAGTACTAAATTACGCTATTTCCGATTTCTCAAAAAACGCATGTACATTTATAAAGTACTAATAATATTTTTCTATGAGATTCTATTCTATTTTTAAAAGTTTAAGTAATTAAAAATCATGTCTATATTCCAAGTTATATAAGAATATTCTAGAAAGTTTAGGGGACATCTCTCCCGGTTTATTTAAACAACGAATCTTTTCTCGGCATCAAATAATCAAGCAATGTTTACACACTATACACACGGAGTCAAAGACATGATTAATTTAAACATTACTTTTCACTAATCAATTTCCTGATTATTTGAAGGGCATTAGCTCACGTTTGTTGTTTTGTAAAAATAAAGTGATGGAAATGATACTGTTGTGTAATGCATGGATTTTACATTAACGTTACTATTTTGAAATGTAAACTCACATTTGACAGAAGAATAAAACACTGTTTTCAGTTGTTTTGTCCTTTGTTTTAGACACTCTAGTTCCAGTAGTAACAAACTGTCGTTCCGCTTTAATAAACAAACTGTCAATAACACAAGTCACCTCTAGCTTGTAGTAATGTCAGTGTTTTATGTGTACTTTGTACTGACCCGTTCTTTGGCTTAATTTACTATCATTTATCTTATCAATAAATATATAAAACATTTAAATTGTGTTATCATCAATTTTACACATTAAGTGACTTTATCAGTTATATCTACTGATTGAAGGTGTATTCAAATCATGCCGAGTAATTGCCGGCTTATCGTGTATGTGTAGGGATCTGTACCCGAACATTCTTATTTGTATAAAATATTACTTACTCAGCGTGAAATAAATTGCAGCATTGAACATGGGTACATTTGGACAGGCACACAATAAAAGATCAGAGGTATAGCGAGAGGTGGGTGGGGATGGGCCGTACCGGTAGGCGCCTTGTATGTGTGGGGTGAGCGACTGGTTTTGTTTCAATACGATCAAAGGCAATGTTCAGTACTTTTATTGTTTTCGTGTTCACATAGCACACAGTGCTGTCTTATTCGCTTGTCTCTACCAGAAAACCCCCTAACAATCGTTAACTCCTGCTTTAATACACGAATTCTACCTTTGGGTAACAATACATAAACACCCCGAGGTAAACTAATCTCACACACTCCTCTATTTTAAAATGTAAAGGATTCTAACTTATTGTAATCTAAACCACAAATGGCCCACACCAACACCATTTTTTTGCTAGCTGCATTACGTTGTATACAAATCGTATACAACTATTGTTATTATCTGTGCAGTATTTTTAAAAAAATACCATTGGGGGAGGGGGGGAATGGATACCAACTGAAAATTTTGCAAAGTTTAGTGGTAAAAAAATGTTAGCAATAGATGAATGTAATGAGAATACATGTGCATATTGACATCATCAATATTTGTACTTCCGTTTGCTGGGGTATAATGTATCCATACAACAGTCCTTGAATATATGGTACACACACACGTTTTGCTATGATTTTTTTACTTCTGCTATTATTTATGTCAAATCTTGCGACACTGGCCTCGCTTAATCATTTTAAATTGTAATGAAATCTCAGTAAATGTAATTACTATTTAGTAATACATACGTATCTAGTTCATGTACGTTAATGTTAAATGAGCAATACACGAGTTTGATGGTGCTAATGTTATCATGGTGTTTATTGGAGGGTTACAATTATTACAAAATAACTAAGGATGGTAATAAATTTACAGGTTCAAACTATCCCGTTATAGATGATTGTGTAAAAATAAATGAATTGGTTTGATATTTTTTGTTGTTCTATTTTTCGTCATATTTGTAGGCCTATACACATACAATAACTCATACAAAGTATTTGTCTTTAGGTGTTATCGGTATTTCTTTTAAGGCAACGCTCTGAGTGGGTGGGTTCATTGAAGTGCTTGATGATCCCACACTTTTCTGTGACAATTTGAACTTTTGATCAGGTACGTGAATGCTACGTTCTAAATCGAACCCTATGAGTATTTTTATCATCACATGATGGTTTTTATCTTGCCTGTGTGACACTTGATAAAAGCACCGATAAATTCATTGGGGTTGGTCTGTGGTCTGGAGACAGGTATGGTACGTCTGTATAAGTTAAGTGCACCTAATCTAGCGCTGCTGGGTCAGTAGTTGTTGACATGAAGTAACGTCAAGAATGTTTCTCAGACCAAGACTCAATTTTATCCCACTGCAGTAGTTTTACTATCGTTAGTTTATAGAAGTACAACACAAAACATGCTGCATGGTGAACTCACAAAATAACAAAACATATAATCACCAAGTCAAAAACAAGACGTTCACTTTGACCTGTTATTATTTGTATTAATATCAATACAATAAACACTTAATTTCCCTTAACAATAATGTGTTAAGTGTTAGAGACTGCACCAACAGGACTAAAATCTTTAAGAGAAAGTTGCTGTCATGTTCTTTTGTTTATATATTTTATTCACTGAAACATACATTTTACACTTTGTGAGATCATATTTAAATGATAATTGCACTAAGGGACATAACCAATAAAATATATTTCAATGTATACATATCTTGATAAGTTCCCTTGAAGGTTTCCTTACAATATTTTTGTTTAGCTCACACACACACAAGATTTGGTTTAGCTCACACACCCACAAGATTTGGTTTAGGTCACACACACAATATTTGGTTTAGCTCACACACACAAGATTTGGTTTAGCTCATACGCATAAGATTTGGTTTAGCTCACACACACACAAGATTTGGTTTAGCTCACACACACAACATTTAGTTTAGCTCACACACACAAGATTTGGTTTAGCTCACACACACGTGTGGGCAGATAACAGAAGTTCTAAACGCTGTCAAAGATATAAAACAAATAGGAGTAATTGTGATATTTTATTGTAAAACAAAAAATACAACACAAGCTCAACGATTGTAAAAAGAACGTTGTGTTAGTCAATGTGTAGCTAGATCCTTTCATATTTCTTTTAATTTTTTAGTTAATGGGCAGAGTTAGTCTGGGCAGATTTAACCTAAATATTTTCATATAACTAATACATCGCCGTGTGTCAAAATGCTATGCGCTATATTGCACGCTAAAACTGTGTACATCCTGCTTTTATTTCTGGCTTTGATTCCATAGTGTTTGTTCATATAAAAAACAAAGTACAAGGCAGCACTTGTTTCATTTATGAGTTTTTCTCCTAGATGAGTTTTTGTCCCTGGTTATCGAGCCTAATTTAGGAACGGGGCCGAACTCTCGACTTCAGTAAAAGCAATAATGAGCTCCATTTCTTGAAAACGGGGATAATGACGTAGGGGTGTGACGTCATAGACCCATCAGACATAGCGTCGTTTAATTTGTTTGTGTTTGGTATAGTATTAATTTTAAAATTAAAATTAAAATATCAAATAAAACAGACAAACATGATTTATATTTGTTGAAAGTCTCAACTAACGTAGACAGATTGGAAAAACTTCAAAATTGTAAACATTTGGCTGTAGATATGATTTTCACTAAAGCTAAGCTATTTGATTTTGCGATGTAAGGCTCTATGCTAACATACAAGTACATACAAATACATATACATTAATACACACACACACACACACACACACATATATATATATATATATATATATATATATATATATATATATATATATATATATATATATATATTTACAGACACAAACAATGTTACTGAATACAAACAAAAATAAACCGGGAGTGATCTCCCCTAAACTTTCTCGAATATTCTCATATAACACTACGTGGGACGGCAAATCTGAATATAGAAATGATTTTGGATTACTTAAACTTTTAAAAAAATATTCATAAAAAACGTTATAATAACAAGCTTTTATGTAATAATGCACTTAAAAGTAGAAAATAAATTATACACTACTATTTAAATTACTATAAAGAAAAGGTCGAATTTTGCGTAATTTCCGTTGACCGGAAGTACTAATTTACGCTATTTCCGATTTCTCAAAAAACTAATGTAAATTTATAAAGTACTAATAATATTCCGCACTATTATGCACATTTCATTTGACGTTTACTGGTATGCAATTCTTTTTTCTACGAGATTTTATTCTATTTTAAAAAGTTTAAGTATTTAAAATGGATTTGATTTTATGTCTATATCCCGAGTTCCCATCCCCTGTTTTAGGGGAGATCACTCCCGGTTAATTTTATATAGTTTATAATCATGTAGTTCCAGATATACGTTTATTTTTAACACAATAAACATTCAAAAATTAAATTATATGATTTTGATTTTACACCAAGTCTCACATACAGTGAAGTATACAAATATATATATAAACATAGCTAACTTATAGTTTATAGAGTTAGAGTTAGAGCTCAGTGTCATGAAGTATAACAAATTATTAGTGAGCACATTGAATAAGCTAGAACCCCCAAATGATGACTAAACAAATTACATATAAACCACTCAAATTTTCTAGACATGTAGTTTACATACATAGTAAGTTGTTAGTGTGTGTATAACATGGTGTTTGCATATTTTATTTTTTGAGAATTTACCATCAACCATGTTTTGTGTTTTACTTCTATAAACTAACGATAGTAAAACTACTGAAGAAGGATAACGTTGCATGTTGATCTGAAAACACTTGCAAATAAAGTTCTTGACCTTTCTTCATGTCAACAACCACTGACCCAGCAGCGCTAGTGTCGGCACATTTTACTTCTATATCAGTACGACACCTGCCTCCAACCATCACAGTAACATTAATATGTTTATTTCCACACTTATGTAGAGTGACACAGACAAGATATAAACCATCATGCGGTGACACAAATTTTCCTGTGGTTTGATTAAAATGTTGACCATTATATTCACGCACTTCACCAAAAGTTGAAATAATTGACCCATAATTGACAAGTGTTGGATTATCAAACTTTACATGACAAGCATATCTGTTACATACACGTGACTCTGTTGATTAGAAAACATATGTATGATATACATGTTTAATTCCATACAAGCTCTGACGATTGGATCAATAATATTTGTGAATTTTCGTATTATTAGTTTTATGATAACCCTAAACATAAACTTCTTATATATGTTTTGTGTGTAGTTCAGAATGTAGGTAAAAATGGCAAACCCAAATCAAACCATTTTTAACAAAAAATTAATTTAGTAAAATAATCAAAAAAGTTTACATAATTTTGTCTAAGACCACAAATTGAAACACTAAACCAATAGTTTAGTACGGTCCTCAGTTGTAGTGGTGTAAGTTTATAGTTTCCTACGTATTGAAACTACGAGTGTGGTAAATGACGTAATACATCACAAAAGGTACAACAAATAGTGTATCATAATCACACAGTCCGTATGTGTTCACATTATAGTTTATCTATATAAGGCGTATCTACTAGAACAAAAGCTATTTTGTTAAACATGTGAAATGTAATAAAATCTATAACAAGATTAGCACAATCAACTTTACAGTTTTTAATGTTTTCAAGTTACCATTTTATTTTGGATGTAATTCACGGCTCGCATAAGACTCCGCATAAGAACGCAATAGGTCGACCCCCGACATACCAGGTGGTGTAATGTACCAGGTGAGGAAAAAAACACCTGACGGAAACCCACGGGTCTAGAGACTGGCACTATGGGTGAGTGAAATGTTCCATTCTTTATTACGTTATGGTCTGTCTGGCTAACGAACATCACGTTATGGTCTGTCTGGCTTACGAACATCACGTTATGGTCTGTCTGGCTAACGAACATCACGTTATGGTCTGTCTGGCTAACGAACATTACGTTATGGTCTGTCTGGCTAACGAACATCACGTTATGGTATGTCTGGCTAACGAACATCACGTTATGGTCTGGCTAACGAACATCACGTTATGGTATGTCTGGCTAACGAACATCACGTTATGGTTTGTCTGGCTAACGAACATCACGTTATGGTCTGTCTGGCTAACGAACATCACGTTATGGTATGTCTGGCTAACGAACATCACGTTATGGTTTGTCTGGCTAACGAACATCACGTTATGGTATGTCTGGCTAACGAAAATCACGTTATGGATTGTCTAGCTAACGAATATCACATTATGGTCTGGCTAACGAACATCGCGTTATGGTATGTCTGGCTAACGAACATCACGTTATGGTTTGTCTGGCTAACGAACATCACGTTATGGTCTGTCTGGCTAACGAACATCACGTTATGGTCTGTCTGGCTAACGAACATCACGTTATGGTCTGTCTGGCTAACGAACATCACGTTATGGTATGTCTGGCTAACGAACATCACGTTATGGTCTGGCTAACGAACATCACGTTATGGTATGTCTGGCTAACGAACATCACGTTATGGTTTGTCTAGCTAACGAACATCACGTTATGGTCTGTCTGGCTAACGAACATCACGTTATGGTATGTCTGGCTAACGAACATCACGTTATGGTTTGTCTAGCTAACGAACATCACGTTATGGTCTGTCTGGCTAACGAACATCACGTTATGGTCTGTCTGGCTAACGAACATCACGTTATGGTCTGTCTGGCTAACGAACATCACGTTATGGTATGTCTGGCTAACGAAAATCACGTTATGGATTGTCTAGCTAACGAATATCACATTATGGTCTGGCTAACGAACATCGCGTTATGGTATGTCTGGCTAACGAACATCACGTTATGGTTTGTCTGGCTAACGAACATCACGTTATGGTCTGTCTGGCTAACGAACATCACGTTATTGTATGTCTGGCTAACGAACATCACGTCATGGTTTGTCTAGCTAACGAACATCACGTTATGGTCTGTCTGGCTAACGAACATCACGTTATGGTCTGTCTGGCTAACGAACATCACGTTATGGTCTGTCTGGCTAACGAACATCACGTTATGGTCTGTCTGGCTAACGAACATCACGCTATGGTATGTCTGGCTAACGAACATCACGTTATGGTCTGTTCAGCTAACGAACATCACGTTATGGTCTGTTTGGCTAACGGACATCACGTTATAGTCTGTTTGGCTAACGAACATCACGTTATTTTCTGGTTAACGAACTTCGTTTAACAAGTGGTTATGTCCGAAGATATTTAGATAAATTAAAAGGGATTGAGGGTAGAATATTGAACAAAGTTAATAAAACATTTACCGATTGGTTATTATTGTAGATTATTTGATAGTTTTACTTTTGTTATATTTAAACGAGAAAATCAAAAGGTAGAATCATCATTAAATCACAATACTATTGTTATATAAATGTGTTTTAAAATATTTTTTTCAAAGAATACTTACCAATGAGATGAAAACTGCTAGACAATTTTGAACAAGTATTTTCAAGTTCACCCAGCTAAATTAAAATAATATAAATAAATGAAAGAAACACATATCTACATAGGCTATAATACACGACTGTTCCACCGATTCTAGAGATTATAAAAACTTATAGAAAAGAACATGGTTTACGTATATTCTTATTCTAAGTATTTAACTTATTTCTCTGTAAATTAAAAAATAATGGGCATTTGTAATCTAATAACAGACTTTTACTGAGTAATGTAGTATTTATCAATTTTGTAAATTATTTGTTATACAATTTTTCGAAACATACCTTATTTATTCTTTCTTCCCTAGTTTCCTGGTACTGGTTAAAGATTTGAATCAATTTGTCAATCGGCATCAATCTTTGTTGTAGAAGTTTATGCACAACACTGTGCTAAATTGAAGATTTATATATTTAACTATTTTTATTGTATATTAAAACTCACATACAATTAGCATTTATATAAAAGTTATTATCATCGTTAAGTAAGTCAACTGAATCTTAATTAAGAATTTGAAGTAAATTAGCTGGCAAGTAAGAATATAACTGAGTACGAAAAACACAGCAATTTTAAAAATTACCTTTAATTGCAACTTTTCTAATTGGGTTGATGTTTTGACAAAGATTTTATTATTTTCATCTCGTAAAGAAACAATTAAATCATAATGTCTTTTAATTTCTTCTTTCATACCGTCTCTTACATCTGTATCAGCTTGCATTTCTTTATTTATTTTGTGTAATTTGTTTTCATATCCTTTCATATCTAGAGAAAGTTTCTCTAGTGTTTTGTTTGATTTGATGTCTTTTTCTTTTAAACGTTCAATTTCTTTTTTTAGCTCCTTTACTTTGTTATCTTTTTCACTCATTTGTTTTCTGAGGTTTTTAAAATTCTGTTTTTGTTTTTTAGTCAGTTGTTCAATGTTTACCCCTATGTCACTCTTTTCTGTTACAAAGTTGTTTCTCCATTGTTTTATTTCTGATATGTCATCTGTAGACTTGTCATTGGCATCTTGTAGAGAAGATAAGGCTGTCTCTATCTGCTCAAGTCGACTGACGTCTTGTAGAGAAGATATGGCTGTCTCTATCTGCTCAAGCCGACTCAACATTTCTAATGCAATGAAAGAAACCAAAAAAAGTTATTCGAATTATTAATTATGTTTAGTAGCAGAAAAAAGGCACATACGTTTACATTTTAAGTTTAAAAAAAAAATGTTTTAGTTTCAAAATGGTTTATACCCGCTGTTGATTGAACGTGTTTAGTGACTTGATGTTTTGATTTACTATGGTCACGTTTTTCTGCTGCTATAGGATGTGGTGTAGACTGAAATAATGATGGCGTATTTTCTTTGACATCTAGGTAGTCTTTATTTTCATCTTGGTGATTTAAATGAACAAAATAATGTTTTGTTACATATTGAAATATTCGAATATGTATTGTTTGTTATTTGGAACTACGGTATATATTATTTTCTTCGATCCACAAGTTAAAGTTATTATAATTATTGATAAAAAATGCTTTACTTATGATAGATGATGACGCATTCAACAAAATCAATATAGCTGCCTCTAGTTCCTGGGAAAGTTCACTGTACGTGAGAGGCGGGTTGTCAATTTTATCTTCTATCCAAGTTTGACTTTTTTCTACAGCCTTTTATAAAACACATTTTTCAACATACCGTGTATTTTTCTTTTTAAACTATCCCTTAGCTACTTTTTTCTACCTAAGTTATTGCGCTTTTCAAAATGTATGAACAAATAACAATATTAGTAAGCGTTTACGTTTTTCATAACTTCCAAGACAGGTTCCAGAACTTGTATCTGTTCTTCCAAATATTTCTTTTGCCATACAACAAGGTTAACTTGAATCCTGGGTCGCATCTAACAAAATAATTAAAATATTTGGTCGCTGTATTGACAATTGACTTGAAAAATCTGAAAATTCTAAACCAATATAGTAAATCAAAATATTACAATATAAGATAGTTTTTTTTAAAAATCACATATAATTTACATTTTTAACATGGCTAAACAGCATGCAGCTTTGTTGATAGACTTATAATCTGTGTTTATTTAAAAGTTATGCTACTATAAACCTTGAATATTATTATTTTTCTTATTGCATGAAATTGGACTCTTTACATCCAACAAAAAAAAAAAGAAAGTGTCCATCGGGAAAATCAGCTTTTATAAAATAAATGTTCCATTTATAAACATGGCCGCAATAGAACAGACGTAGGCTGCTAGATCTGTTTTTTGCCACCAACTAAATTATTTATCTAGGTAAAAGCCACGTATCTGTGTATTTAGTAGGTCATTAAAATGGTTTTAAGTCGAACAAACTATTATCTGATTATTTAATCATGTTCCTCTATCTTTAACGGGAACAGAACATTACCCCTCCCCCCGTCAATTACCCCCCGGACATTTCCCCCCCCCTATTTACCCCCCGGAGCAATTACCCCCCTGTAACGGACACCTATCTACCAGCCAGATAGATGGAGAACGCTCCCGGATTCTTTCTTGGGGTTATATGCAAATGACCTAAAGCCTAAATGAATGAAAACTAACTCAACAACTCACTAGGGCTCGATTTCGAGGTCTAGGGAAAACTAGTGAAACTATTGAAGTTAACAACTCATTCAATCTGCATACAACTTTTAATAAGTGAACAAAGTTGTGGCAGAACACTAGATTAAACAAGATAAAATATTTAGTTTAGAAATAACAAAACCCAACTTACAAAGCGTAAGAATAAATACTATCACAGATTCTAACACTTTATAAAAATAGCCACAATTCACATAACACTGCTATAGCATCAAGAATCACTTGGCCACAAGTAATATAATATTAGGATACTTAAACAACTTAATAATACATAGCACACTCAGGACTTATGCTCTCTCACATTCAACTGGTCAAAATGGACTGCCTTGAGACACCTGTGGGCGATCTATTTATAGACTTAGGTAACATGGAAGGTCACCTTCAGATCGTAAGACCATTGGCTGAGGTGGTCATCTGGTCTGAAACAATCAATCATCTCTCGATGGAAAATTTCTGAGTCTAAGACTCTCTTAGTAAGACAGCGGAAAAAAACCGGTGGTTGCACCACAAACCATATATGGTATTATAACAATGTCAAACTAAAAATAAAACATTACTAGACCTAAGTAGGTCACACCCCCCCCCTGTCAATTACACCCAGCCGAGTAGGACATTACCCCCCCCCCCCGGACAGGGTTAGAGTTAGGGTTACGGCTAGGTTTAGGGTTAGGGTTAGGGTTAGACCTAGGTTTAGGGCTAGGGTTAGGGTTAGGGTTAGGGTTAGGGCTAGGGTTAGGGTTAGGGTTAGGGTTAGGGTTAGGGTTATGGTTATGGTTATGGCTAGGGTTAGGGTTAGGGTTAGGGTTAGGGTTAGGGTTAGGGTTAGGGTTAGGGTTAGGGTTAGGGTTAGGGTTAGGGTTAGGGTTAGGGCTAGGTTTAGGGCTAGGGCTAGGGTTAGGGTTAGGGTTAGGGTTAGGGTTAGGGCTAGGGCTAGGGTTAGGGTTAGGGTTAGGGTTAGGTTTAGAGCTAGGTTTAGGGTTAGGGTTAGGGTTAGGGTTAGGGTTAGGGTTAGGGTTAGGGTTAGGGTTAGGGTTAGGGTTAGGGTTAGGGTTAGGGCTAGGGTTAGGGCTAGGGTTAGGGTTTGGGTTAGGGTTAGGGTTAGGGTTAGGGTTAGGGTTATGGCTAGGGTTAGGGTTAGGGTTAGGGTTAGGGTTATGGTTATGGTTAGGGTTAGGGTTAGGGTTAGGGTTAGGGTTAGGGCTAGTGTTACTGTTAGAGCTAGGGCTAGGGCTAGTGTTAGTGTTAGAGCTAGGGTTAGGTTAGGGTTGTGTCTAGCGTTGGTTTTGGTTATGTGTGAAGTTTTAGTCTGAGGTGGATGCTTAGGTTTTGGTCTTTTTCTTAAGGTTTGGATTAAGGTAGTATATAGGTATAGAATTCTAGTTAGAGTTAGGATTCTAACTTGAGAGGTGTGGGGGGGATAATTCCCCGGGGGGTGGTATTTGAGTTTGAGCGGGGGGTAAGTGTCAAAGGGATAATTGCTCCGCGGGGTAATTTCCGGGGGGGGGGGGGGGTAATGTCCTGTAGCCATCTTTAACATATCTTAAAATAGGTACTATTTGTATCATTAAAAAATCTAACTAAACGACACATTATATCTTAAATGATCCACACATGAATACACGTTTCATTACTAAATTAAGATACATGTATATTCTCTAAACCATTTGATTACATTTACTTTAATATTGACTTCTGGTATTCTTTTGACGTGTAGGTAAAACGTTATCAAACTATTCCATAACCTCTAACCTGCTCGTGAAACTGGAAACAATAAACGGGAAATCCCGCTATTATCTATTACGTTGAAACCTCGGTACAAAGTACACAACAACTCAAGGGACATAAGTGTGACTGATCTTGTTTTTGTAGCAAAAACACATTGTGGTAAAGAAGGTAACATAATATACTGTTTAATTTCATTACATATGTACTTACATATAAGCCTACATATGTGATAAATGTATATACGATATATTGCTTATTATATGCAGATAGACGTTTATGGTTAGATTTTGTGTTAGGTCTAGAATTAGGTTAGGAACATGAATGAGTCCAGTAAAAGTTCAGATATAATCAACTCATGAAGAGTTCACGTTAAAATAACTACTATCGAGAAAACAAATGAATGAGAGTTTATGACAGAATATTCAATGCAGAAGAAAACTAAATCATGTTCGACATCATTATTCGTGTGGATAACGTGTGGTGGCTACAACCACAAGTCTCCTCAGTGCTCGTTTCACGTCGTTTTATATCGAGATTATTCTACGTTGACGGTTGTTTTGTTATAAGTTTATCGATCACTAATTAATGTGTGATCGAATAATATTTGCGTGATTTAGATCTTAATGAATGGAGTCGTGTTAGCGTTTATGCTTCGTTCAGATATCTATAAACATGGTGGTGTGATTAGCTAATGGTCAATAATAAAACTGAAGTAGTTTATTTTTATTATCAAGGTCAATGGTCAAGATGTAACTTTGTTAGAAAGGTAAAGATTTTAAATTGAATAATGATTATTCGATAAATGTATTGAATTACATCGGTAGAAAAATAGAGGTGTGTTTTTTAATTTTTGTCTGTATGAGTTATATTTTAAATCCACCTATAATTAATTTTATAATGTGTCTAAATTTTATATTAAAAAAATAAACTATTTTTTTTTATTTTAATAAATAATCACGTAATGTATATAAAGCATTAAATGCTTCCTAAATTTAGTATTTAGAATAGTTTTTGTTTTTAAAAAAATAATATAAGTCTAAAAATTATAAAACGTAGCTGAAAGATATTACAATTATATGCATACGTATTTAATACTGTATTTTACGTAGTGCAACTGTTAAAATATCATACTGTATTTTGAATTCTAACTCTTACAATTGTTACCTTTAGTCTTGCAGAACCTAGAAATAAATTACTTTCTACTTTATTCTTATGTTAAAGCAAAGTAACTTATCTTTTTCTGAATAAAAAAGAATTGAGATTTTACATTTTTTTTTATTAACGGCAACATCTGTCTGTTCGTCTTATCTCTATGTGTAACGTGAATGTAATCCAATTTTGTAAGATAACGCCAACTTTAAACATTTAGTTTGTAGGTAATGAAATATTGTAAAACGGTGCAAATCAACTAATAGTGCCATAGTATCTGGTTAGAATAGCCGGTTATTCTCCATAATGATTTTTCTCTTATTCAATTTCCTAAATGTCACATGCCAAATACTTATCTGAATGAACACACATTAGAGAGTATCTTACTTAAGCTAGCTGTGTTTTCTTCTATAGATGCGTCCGAGAATTCAAATCAGACAAGTCACTAATCACATGAAATATTTACAAGAACAGATTCGAATTGTGGAGCCTGTTATTAAAGCTATGAAAAATGTAAGTTAAACTGTAATTAGGGCATACAAAAGCACATATAAATAAAGGATCAAAAGCTATATGGATTGTATAAGTCATCCTAATATATAAAATACCCTATGCGCACTTCTCTCTCTCTCTCTGTCCGCAAAATATTTTCGCCAGACATCAAATCAGAAACTGCATCGATATATGAAGAACTTTATACGGACTTTTGTTGAAAATAATATGTTAGATGTTTTAAATGTATAACCACAATTTTATTTAAAGAAGAAAAATAAAAAAAAAATGCGTATTTGAATGTAGAAAAACAATTTTAATTATGCAACCGGAAGAGTGTTTAAACTTGGGACAAGAACGCATTTAATAATGACGTAGCTTATTGTTTACACTAAAAACAGAGCACGAAACTGAATAAAAAGAAATGAACTATTTCATTCAAATATGATTTAGAGCTATGTACGCTATGAAATGTATACAATACGATTTTCTCGGCCTAAACTTAAAAAAATTATTTTATCTATTTGGATTCTAGATCTAGAGATTCTAGATCTAGATATATCCTAGATCATCTAGATCTAGATATTCTAGATCATCTAGATCTAGAGATTCTAGATCATCTAGATCTAGAGATTCTAGATCTAGATCTAGATGATCTAGATCAGGGGTCTCCAAACTTTTCAGTCCGAGGGCCGCATTAACTATCAATTTTCAGTTCGGGGGCCAGTTTCTTCCAGGCGTATCTTTGATTTTTCGGGTCAAAGTTCCTCAGCCATCACCAACAAACGCTTTTTCCGTGGACAAAAAGATCTCCGCGGACCGGATGAGAGGACATCGCGGGCCGCATCTGGCCCGCGGGCCGTAGTTTGGAGACCCCTGATCTAGATCTACGGAAAAACTAGACTTACACAGATGTAGACCTAGATCGAGAATCTATTCAAATAATACATTTCTATACTAAAGTATTTCAGGCCTTAATTACTTTATTGAAATCTTCGTTTATCTATGCAATTTGCTAATCTCTATAATATATAAAGCTAAGTTGTCGGGTGCACTTCCCGGCGCCGCAGGCGCTTCAAATTTGGCAGGATCTTGCAGGGGACCGGTTGGTCGAAAAGTCTACGATGAGTGGGTCAAAACTGACCTCGATCGACCGGCGCCTTATATAGGCGAATTAATTAAGCATTCAAATTCTCAATGTTTTCGAAAGCCTAAGCGAAGCTGGGCAGCATGCCTAGTCTTTACAAGAATTCTGGCTAGTGAGAATGGGAGTGGGCCGGGGGTAGAGGGAGAGGTGAACATATATTGACTCTTTTAACTACCCCAGATTGTACAGGAATACAAATATAAAACTTCAACTTGTTTTAAAATAAAAACTAGGTTGTGGAGAAAAGTAATACTTGGCTGCAAGATAAAAAAAATCATAAAAAACGTTTTAATAACAAGCTTTTATGTGATGATGCACTAAAAAGTAGAAAATAAATTATAGACTACTATTTAAATAACTATAAAGAAAAGCGTGGGTCACTTTAGTATCTATTGGATACCTTTACTAATGTTAAGGAAGACACTCACGCTTTTCTTTATAGTTATTTAAATAGTAGTCTATAATTTATTTTCTACTTTTTAGTGCATCATTACATAGAAGCTTGTTATTAAAACGTTTTTTATGAATTTTTTTTTTCAGTACTTTACATGTTTTATTTACAATAGAGTTACATGACTCAAAACGATTGCGCGCCTACTGAACATCACGTTCAGTAGGCGCGCAATGGTTTTTGAACGCAGCCATTACGTGATGGCGCAGCTATTGAAGGTGATGACGCGTGTGGTGTGGTTGGCTAGACATGCCTACTAATTCGGTCCAAATTTTAATTAATTCATAAAAAATTAATTAGGCATCCAATTTAGTCAAATTTAGTTTCAGATTGCATTGTCTTCATGTCTTGACCCACGTGCCAACTTTGAATCGTATCGGTCAAGTAGAACTGTCCGAATTTTCACTCCTGCGTTTCCGTCTAGACAGACTGACGACAGAGGAAGTGAGTTAAATAAAAGCTTGTAAAAATAGCCTATCTTCCTTGACCTACATTGAGTTACAGCAAGAACTCGACTCAGTATCCACAGCCTTGTTGGATGTGTCGTCAGAAAGTTTAACGTATTTTAAAACAAAATTGTTTTCGTGTTCACATATTACACAGTGCTGTCTTATTCGCTTGTCTCTACCAGAAAGACCCCTAGCAATCGTTAACTCCTGCTTTAATACACGATATAGACATTGGCTAACAATACATAAACACTCCTCTCTCATAAGTTGTAAAGGATTCTTACTTATTTTAAATCTAAACCACAAACAACTATTGTTATTATCTGTACGTATTTTTAAAAAAAAATACCATTGGTGGGTGGAGGGTGGGAATGGATACCAACTCAAAACTTTGCAGAGTTTACAGTGGTAAAAAAAAACGTCAGCACTAGTTTTAATGTAAAAGTGTGATAACAATGATTGTAATGAGGATACCTGTGCATATTGACGTCAACAATATTTGTACATCCGTTTGTTGGGGTATAATTTGTCCATACAACAGTTCTTGAATATAAGTTACACACACACACACACACACACGATTTGCAATGATTGTTTACTTCTGCTATTATTTATGTCTAATCCAGCGACACTGGCCTCGCTTAATCATTTTAAACCGTAACGAAATCTCAGAAAATGTAATTGTTTTAAGTAACACATACGTATCTAATTCATGTAAGTTAATGTTAAATGAGCAATACACGAGTTTGATGGTGCTAACGTTAACACGGTGTTTAATAGAGTGGGAGAAGTATTACAGAATAACTGAGGATGGTATAAACGTACAGTTTCAAATTATGCCGTTATAGATAATTGTTTAAATATAAATGAAATATAATCCATATTTCAATTCGGGTGTTAAAATAAAATGGTTTGATTTGTTTTTTTTTCTGTTTTGGTCACATTTGTATACACATACAATGACTCATACAATGTATTTGTCTTTAGGTGTTATCAGTTTTTCTTTTAAGGCACCTCTTCGGAGTGGGTGGGGTCATTGACCTAAGCGCGTCCATCCTCCCTCCACATCCAAAAATCAGAACGAAAATATATATTTTTATATAATAATAATTTTATAGAAAAAATATTTTTAAGAGTACCCACTCCCCACACAAACTTAACAACCCCCCCCCCCCCCCGCAGTAACATGGTCTAAACCAGGGGTCGGCAACCTTTTGAGACAGAAGAGCCAAAAGTTACAATTTTCAAAATTTCCCAGGTTTAAAAGAGCCACTAACATTTTTAAAATGTCAATATTTTATTTTCTGATTAAGATTAGGTAAATTTATTTGATTTACTATTTAAAATAAATAGCTTTATTTATGAAATTATATTTATTCATATAAAAAGGTAAACTTGTTTCGCCAGAAAAAATGAAATTAGTAATAAAAAATAAAAATATAGGATTGTCTAAATCCACTTTAGAAGCTGTTAACTTTTCCCCTTCTTTACGGATATCACCGGCACAGGAGGTGTCTGCCATTAGCCAGGCAGGACTCAACACGGCATAGTCCGACAAACTGGCTTCGCCATCGGTTTGGTTACCGTGTCTCGGTCCCCTCTGTCCTTTGGTTCTCACCAGGCTTATCTTCTAGCCCATTGAACGCAAAGTAAACTTGTACCCCACCGTCCAGTGCCCGGCTCAACAGTAGGAAGCTAATAACTAAAAAAAAACTACGTCACTCATGACAAATTAATGATTATTAACGGATAAGAAAATGCATTCTAAATAAAATAACATTCCCCATTAAAGTCGGCACTTGGGCTTTGGCACGCATGGAAAGGTCGCCACGGGGCTGTCCACAGTACGGCTGTCCTGCTGGGTCTGGTGCCCAAACGGCCATTAGCTGTCAGTATACTTTCTACTGCACCTATTCCCACTGTTCTCTGATGAGATTTTTTTTTTCTTTTTAAACTATTGTTTCTTTACAGAATATATTTTGTTATGAGTTTTGATAATAAAATAATATAAATATTATACTAATAATTGTGCAAGGAGATTGAGAGCCGCATCTTGTCATCAAAAGAGCCGCATGCGGCTCGCGAGCCGCAGGTTGCCGACCCCTGGTCTAAACCAAATACTGGATGTTACAACATAAATTAATGACGAGACAAACTTTCCTTGTAAGGATCAAATAGTCAGAGCTTAGCATGTATGTGTGAACTTGAACATGTCAATCATACAGATCTATATATATAATTCTCTTCTGGGAGCCGCTAGAAAACAAGCTGCAAACGCGCCTAGAAAACAAGCTGTAAACGCGCTCCTTACCACCCCCACCCCTACATGGTTTTAGTGAGCTGTGTTCACTCTAAATGTTTACAAGCAGAGCCAACGATTTTAAACGTAGGGGGGGGGGGAGGAAGAGGGGGGGGGGTATGGTCCTTAACGAGCTACTTATAGTGTTTTAAAGAAATATTTTCAGTTTCAGCGTTTAACTGTCGAATTCACAAATTTTGAATTACTGAAAAGTAGAAAAAACAACAACTAAATAGCGGCGTATGTTATGCCGCGGGCCGGCTCGTATTTTCTATTCCACAGAGTCACTTGTATGTAACAGATGTGCTCGTTATGAAGAGCTTGATGATCCCACACCTGTCTGTGACAATTTGAACTTTTAATCAGTACGTGGATGCTACGGTCTAGATTTTATCAAACACTAGGAATATTTGTATCATCACACGATGGTTTTTATCTTGCCTGTGTGACACTTGATAAAAGCACAGATAAATTCATTAGAGTTGGTCTGTGGTATGGAGATAGGTAGTGTACGTCTATATAAGTTAAGTGTGTCTATACTAGCGCTGCTGGGTCAGTGGTTGTTGACATGAAGTAACGTCACGAATGTTTCTCAGACCAAGACGCAATTTTATCCCGCTGCACTAGTCTTACTATCGTTAGTTTATAGAAGTACAACACAAAACATGCTGGAAC